AAAGAGTGTTTGCTCTTCAAGTGATAAAGAGCCCGTTTGCACATGATAATTCAGCTCAGCCAGAAAAGGATTTTTCTAAGGGACATGAAAAGGGAGCATCAGGCAGATAAATGCCAACAATAATTATGATACATCTAATAAAAATCCCCCTAAGATAGCTGGTTATAGATTATCACACTTGACTTACTGTACTGCATGGGAAAATATCATTATCAAAATGCTGAAAGCCTGAGTTTATTATTTTTTTTTCTTAGTTTATGGGAATTTTTATAAACAGATAATGTTTAGGTCATGTTTGAATTTAACAAAACACATTTGGGTTTATGATTCACTTGTACCGTAAAACATGTAAGTTTTTGGAAAGCATTACATGCATAGACACTCAGAAAGCAAAGCCTGTACTGTTACAGGGTTCACAACGTGTTTGATGCCTGTGCCAGTGACCCTGTGCCCCAGACATGCCCTAAACCTCACCATATGAATTAATTATATATTTACACAGTTCCTGTCCTGCCTCTCATGTGGCTCTAAAATGCAGATCAAGAACATTTCTCTTTGCTAAAAGCCTGTGCCCCCAGTGTAAAGCTGTTCTCCCTGCTGTCCTGCAGCACTGTAACATGATTGTTATTCATCCTGACCACGCAGAGCTGCAAGGTCCCGCTCACACTGAGTGTTGTATAACCGAGTGGTAAACAGCTGAGGGAACTGATGGAAGGCAGTCAGCATCCTCACAAACCAGCAAGGCCAAGGAATTTGCCCTGCTAAGCAGGCGTAGGAGGAGCCCCAATGAGAGGATGAGTCTCTGCATTTGATGAGATCTTTGTAGCCACCAAGGGAGAGAAGCCAGATCACATTCAAGTAACCCTTAACTGGCTGTCCATAAAATCACCAGGACTGGATGGCACCACCCCTGTGTCCTTGAAGGAGCTAGAATGAGATCCTGCAGAACTGCTGGCCAAGTCCTGTAGCCTCTCCTTACAGTCTTGGTGATCAGGCACTGCTGATTTGTCAGCACCCCAGCTCCAGCTGGGACCCTGGCAACTACAGTCCAGTAATGACCAGTCTGACTTCTTCTTCAAAGCTATAACAACAGACATTTGGTCTGTTTGGTTTCCACATACAAGACAGGCACATCTCTTTGAAATTATTCTCCTATCATTCCCTTTCATGTTTTGGACTTACCATTGATGTTAACAGCTGGTAACACTATAGACATCTTTGGTCTCCGGGTCTTGTTGTGTGTGGTAGCTGGCAACAACAGGTGGTCCTGCAAAGAAGGGAAAAGAGGTGTTAAATGTACCCTGAAAGTACAGAGCTGGGAAAGCTCCTCTTCATTCTGTCTTACAGGCTTTCCACATACAACTACTTACAACAGCTTAGCAAATGCAAATTTTTGAGGGAGCCTTCCAAAAGTCACAGCAATGGCTCATGCTGTGCAACCAAAAAGAAATCCCCGTCGCATGCAGCAGCAGATGGGAAAGCCTTGATCGTGGGGAAAGGGATGGAAACTACTATTGGGCCCTCATTCAACAGACTGCTTATGTATCCCATTAAAGTAATTTAATTTGACTTCAATGATATTAATTGGTTAAGGACTTTGCTGAATTGGAGCTTAGTTGCAGGGCTGTCTGCTTTAGATATAACTGTCATCTTGCTATATCTATGTTGAGCTCTACACCATGTGCCTCATGCAGAAGGGCTGTATCAGTCAGGGTTGTGAAACATGAGCCCTGCTGGCAACACCTACCAGGGAAGTCTGATGGCAAAGCTGTGCTTTGGTAGCTTATCTCAGCTGTGGGGTGCCTGGGTGCTGCTGTAAGGCAGCAGTGTTCAAACTAGCCACCCTGGGTTTTAGCAGCGGAAGCTGCATCTGCAGGAGTATATGGATGCTGATGGACCAACAAAAGACCACTAGGGATGAGGGAAGCTCCCCTTGCCTTTCAAAGCTTTGCCTCCCTGATAGGATGTCACCTCCCCGCCTCATCTTGGCACACAGTGGGCATTGTGAGGAAAGTGTATTTGCTCTCTCTCAGTAAGTAGAAGCAGAAGACTGTGGTTTTGTAATTGACAAATTGAGTTTAAATTTCTAACTCAGGCTCTAAGTGAAACAAAAACTTGCCCATCACTGTGTCTTTTCCAGGCTCCAAAGAATTAATGGAAAAGTTTATTTTCCCAGTCCCAGTGTTTGCCCCTCTCCCCAGTCCCAGAAATGCCAAATCCAGTCCCAGTGCCTCTGAAAAGAACAAAAGCTGTCAGGTGCCACCATGTCAAACGTGAGAAAACCAACTAATTAACAAGTTTTTGCAACTGTCCGAAAACCAGATCTGTACATCTGCCCTTTGCTTCCCAAGATCCAGCCACCTATCCATCATGGTGAAAAAGCAGAAGGAAGTTTGATGCTCTCATCTAATTTAATTTGTAAAACTCCCATGATATTTTAAAAACCTAGCACTCAGAAACTTCACATGCATCTTTTCAGCTCCCTGGCTGATGGAAGAACAGGCACAGAAACATCTCATGCTTTTGGCCCAGGTCGTCTTTCTGGCTGACTAAGATGTCCTTCAGGACACAGTTGTTAACCTCTTCCTGAAAGAGTAACTGTATTTTCCCTATCTTAATATCTAAAGACATTTTTACATCTAAGCTTCAGGGTACTGAGTTATATCCAAAGTCAGGTCTTATGTATAAAGATACTCTGTAGATACATTGCAGAAATACCACTCTCTTTTTTTCCCACCAAAAAATCCCCCCAAAACCAAATGACTGACCATGAGAAGAAAACATTACTTCAATAAATGACTGTAATTAAAAACATCTTGGTATCAAAATTATAAAACCACTCTGGTATAATTCCCATACTACATATGTAATTCCCATTTCATTTTTGAACCACTGAGATTAAGACAACATTCACTAAGACAATGAACTTTACAGAAAAACTGTTCTTGAAATTCAATGCTCCCAAGGGAACAGGCCATAGATACCATGTCCATTAAACCCACATTTTGTAACAACGTCCTTGTCATGATTTGATTACTATTTTTAAGATTGCTTAAAAAATGCTTATCCTGTTGGGGTTTTTTTCAATGCTTCTGAGAGTCCACAACATCATTATCTAGCAAAACACAAGTACTGCATAAATGGCCACCTGTGAATCATTACAAATAACTGCTATTTTTTTGCTAACATATCTGAAGATTGGTACTTTGATTGATGTTGGCTCAGTTGTGCTTATAATGGCACCTTTACTTACTGCAGGTATAAAGTGCATTAAGAACTACCACAAATCCTTTACAGTCAGAGAACCCCTACAGAAAGAAACAGCTGTGTCCCGACAAAGACAATGCCAGATCCTTTGTATGCAGGAATGGCCCTCTGACAATCACTCCAAGTTTGCAAACTTTCTTAACTACCCTCATTCTACACTGAAGGCAAAGGTAGCAGTGGATATGCTGCAGAGTGTCATGAACATTTTGCCTACTGTTTAGCTACTTAAAACATTCTTGAGCCCAAAAGTCTTCAAATAGTCCACAACTCTTATTTGAAAGCAATAATTATTTATATGCAATATAAATGAGTGTATGGATTAGTGATTAGGGAGAAATTAAACATTTAGAGATGCTGAATATATTTCTAACATGTAAAACATTTTTTCCTGTCCTATCACATACAAAATTGCATCCCAGGGGTGTGTGTGACTCATCCCTAATTTTAAACACTAGACAAAAATAGCTAAAATTAAAATGTTATTTGTGATATTAATACATACATAAATAAAACTGAAATAATAAAACTGAAAATGAAGAAAAGCTAATCTTACAAGTCAGCATCTGGCCCATGAGCACGAAAGTCAACCAGAGGCAGAATAAATCACAACTGTTACCCAACAACAGATGGCCTTGGCTTGGGCCAAGATTTGCACTTAGGCGAAATGACAATTTAAGTAGACGTTTCAGACCCGAGACTGCTGGCAGAATGACTGGAAAAATATTAGCCTGGAAAGACAGTATTTCAAACAAGGCCCTAGCTTTACCATTCTCATTTTGCTTTTGATCATCTCTACAGTGCGGTGATAGTGAAGCCAGATGAGATGAACAGATAGATAAATATAGATACAGCTACTAAAACTCCAGCCAGAAATACATTGACTTAATTTAATGAGTTGGAATACAGAAAGCCATTTTTTCCTGGGAATAAAGTCTGAACCTCTTACTTGTTAGACTTCTGATAATAATGACTATTAAGTCCTTGCCACTATAATATATCCTGGGCATGATATAATTAGAATATAACAAATGAGAGCTGTATACATTGAAAAATAAGGTGCCCCTATAGAATGAATTTCCTCACTGAATCTTTTTACTCTGCTGGCTATTTCATTGCTGGCTGATCTGCTTCTGGACTTAGTAACACATGGAACTGCAATAAAGATTTTAAGGCTTCTTACATAAGATCAGTGTTGTCAGGGCTCTAACAGGGATTAAGCTTTGGAGTCTTGTGTATCTCTAACCCCCACGGTCAACTGGCAATGGAAATCCTGTTCCACTGTGCTAGAATGTTCCAAAATTTGCTGCCCCTGTAGCTTCAGCCTGAATCTCATGACACGTGGTTTGCTTCTCAAAGCCTCTACTACCTAGATGTGTAAAAACCTGTTTTTATTTTTTGAAAAGAAAACAATTGATTCTAAATCTCACAGTTAAAGGACATAAAGAATATAGCATCACTGCATACCATGAAGTTTCATTACACAGAGAGTAAACATCCTGCTTAAGGGTCTTTTTGATTTGTTATTAATTTTAACTATCAAAATTTCATAATCTAGATTCCTGGCTTTTCAATTATTGGAATTGGCAATATTGCTTGTTTTGGTTTTTGCAATGCATATCCCCTCAGCAACACTGCACCCAGCAACAGACACTTCCCCAGGGAGCAGTGCCACCCAGCTACAGGCCATCTGCAGAGCTTCTCTTCCCTTGGTGTCTGTGAAACAAACACAACAGAATTAATCCTTGCAGTGTGCCTGGGATGGAGGAAAATATTACCAGTGCTATGGGAAATGTTTAGAGGAGATGTGTATGTGTTTGAGGGATACCTGAGCGACATGGGACACAAAGGAATCCACTTCCAAACCCACCAAGGCTCTACACTCTCAGCATGAGCTGTCTTTCCTCCCACCCCTGATGTTACGTATCTGTCAAACCAATTCCCCCAGATGTTTCTTCACTGCTGTGCTTAGGTACAGGCAAGTATTTTTCAAAACCCTTTCATAATGTCTTGGGCAAAAGCATTTCCTGCTAGAAAACCAATAACATAACTTGATTTTCATGTGCTTTGTTACAGTGTATTACAGCACATCTGCCTATGCAAGCACTGCTTGTCACGCCACTGAGGGGCAAGCCATGGTCCTTCCCACTGGTCTGGAGCATGTCCCTGGCAAAGGACAGATGTGATCCATGTGGGAGCTGTGACTCTGCTCCTGCGAGACAGGCCTTCTCTCTTCTCCTAAGGGCTTTGTCAAGATGCCCAGAAGAGTCCTGCTCTCCATTAGAGATCCACCTCTTTTCAAAACCAAGTGACATTTGTTACTTTACAGGAATAAAATCCTCAAGGAGACGGGAATGCCAAAGGAAAACCTTAATGTGCTGTTCTTGATTTTTCCCTGATGAGGAGATCTGATCTTTGTCATTGCCTTGGAGACCAACTATGTGCTAGAATATTGCAGCTAAGAAAACCAGTTGCCAGAGCAGAGGGGGAAACAGAGTCAGGCGCCTTGGCATGCCAGAGGGTACTGTGCCCAGGCAGCTTCAGAAGGCTTCTTACAGTAAACAAACACTGCAGCTGGGCATTTTATTCATCTCTGTTTATGACTAAGAGGTCTCCCAGGGAATCGTGCCTCAGTCTCTTCCAGCTTGAATCTTCATGCTGTGATTCTAGGACTGGATTACAACCACTGCCAATACAGGCTAAAGAGCATCCCACATGCCACTAAAGCACTGGCAGCTCCCCAAAGCTGCTGGGGGTACCATTTATCTTTAATGGCAATACTTTTGGTAGGGTTCAACATGTTCTGACAGATTAAAAGCTTGTTTATTAACTAGACAACCACATCTAGTGATCACAAGATAAAGCAGAGAGAAAGCAAATGTTTTTTTGAGTGTGAAAATAATTGTGCATCAAATCCATGTGGTGTCTTTCACATGTATTTTTTTTCTGAACACCTTCAGGGATTTCAGGCCAATGAGATGATACTGAAATTTCTTCAGAGGA